GGAGGATAAGAATGATGTTACATTAGATGATTGTTGGATCTTTAACATCACTCAACATTCCTGGATAAAGGTATGTTAGATATTATTAATAATTGATCTGTACAGTGAGATACATGTAAATTATTAATTTATTTCTATTAACAGTTAGATGTACCTCACTCTGTTAGTAAGAGATGGTCTCATTCTCTCTCAGTGTTCATTATGAGTCCTCATTGTGTCTGGATAATAACTGCTGGAGGATATGTTGATTGGATAGGGACATTAGTCACTAATCCTAACATTGTTATGATAACTGAACTAGGTCAGTGTATTAGCCACACCCACCAATGAATACCGTATAAGATGAAATGTTGACGGGGATTTAATATTGGCGGATTGACGGATTTATATAAAAACGCCAAAATAAAATCCGCAAGGAATAATTCCAGCATATTGATGCGTGTGACCAAACCCACATTAATTTTAGTAAAAAATTAGCTAAAAGTGTTTAAAAGCTGCTAGCTAACATGGCTTTACTATCTTTCCTTAAGCCAGTCTCTAAACCAGGTGATAAAGAACACAGTCTTCCAGAAAAGGTACCGTCTTTCTCTGATCATATATGTTGTCAGTGAACCACAACCGCTTAAGTGAAACCCCGCCTAAGGGTGGGGATATAATTAAATTGTTAGAAACCGCCAATATTAAATCCGCCAATAAGCTAGCCATCACAAAACCGCCAAAGAAAACTCCCGCCAAAAAATCCTCTTATTAACTATAACTATTAACTATTAACTATAACCATGTAGAACATTAAGGAGCGAGCCTGATGGAACAATTAATAGGTATGCTGCATTTCAAAAATCAGTTTAAACAATTATTTTAGGAAACAATAAATGATGCATCAGTGACTAAACTTACTAAAGTGATCAAAAATTAATTTAAACAATTCTTAAACAATGAATAAATTAATGATACTTGTGACATTGTTTGTTGTGTAGTAGTGCTAAGTGAACTTTTTAAAATTCAGCAGCTTCTTTTCTTGCAAATTTTAAATTAATAACTTTTAGTCTTCTAGCTCTACATATACATTTCTTGCCTAAAAATGTCTCTAAAGCTACTTTACTCAGCTTTAGATGTATTATTATCTAATATTAAGATTCAGAAGAAGCTTGCTTGACTTTCACAGTTTCTATAGCAATTACATCAATAAAGACAAGCTTCAGAGCTTTTTAATTGAATCTATAACCTTTCTATAGCTGCTGAAGAAGTCTTTGGATGGTGTGTCTGCCTTATCATGCTGCTAGAAAAATCATAACTTCTAATATGAATATATTATACTATCAAATATAATATTTGATAGGCAACATCTTTCAAGCCGAAAAATTTTTCCACCGATATAGAAAATTTCTCAACAGATCCACTAGATGCAGGTGTTATTGCTATCAATATGCAGTTACATGTAAATGATCATTTTGAATGTCATAATTATGGGTATGATTATAATTATGATAAGTATCAAATTTTACAAAAATGTGATTACGATTACAATTATGATTATTATAAATTTTCGGAATGTGATTACGATTATGATTACGATTACATTGAAACATGTAATGATTACAATTGATTACGATTGTAATCGTAATCAGCCCCAACCCTGACCCCAGTTATAATTATAATAATTATTTCCTTTGATGTACTTAATGTTGCATTAGATCCACACCCTCTAATTAAAATTATTATTAATATTGTATTTTAGTTACTAACAGTAAAGGAGAGTGGACAGTAGGTGATACATTAGATACCAATGGTATGAATAATGAAGAATACAAGAAGAAGTATCAGCAGCAACTACAGACAGTAAGAAGAATATGGTTGGAGGAGTACCAGAAACCAAGAAAAGGAGATACAGCCGATATTGAGCAAACCATACAAACTCTTATGAAGAGTCTTGAAGAGAAGGAGAGAGAAGCACAAGTTTATCATCAACAATTGGAGCAGAAGGAAAGAGAAGAAGCAGAGAAAGAGCAAGAAATAAGAAGATATTGTCATCAGCTACAAGAGAAGGATAGGGAGCATCAGGTGGTA